ACTCAGACATGGAAAACCTCCAGAGGAGTGTCTTGAGCAATAATAATGTTTTTCATAAGAAACAAACATTGGGCAACTTTGTGATTAAACTTTTATATGTTAAACATTTAAAAAAACCAACAGCTCGAGTGAGCTGCATGTGTGAGTGGCGCTCAGAGATAAGCCAGGAATCCGCTATGAATATGGATCAAAGAGCCTTCATGGAAGAGCTCCATCCTAAAATTCAGTTGGGGGAGGGTTGACAAAATATCCATGGAAGACAAAAAATCCCAAAAATGGCAAGGAAAATAATGAGAATTCACTCTGCTTCCTCAGCTGAGGATATCTGTTGGAGAAGGGTGGGGTGGTATCCATCTGGGAGAAGGGCATTCTCTGGGAAGTTTGATGGGAAATATCCACAGTAGGAGTGACATCTGGGGCCTTGGAGATTGATGCAGCTACTGCTGTTCTTAACAATTTCTCCTTTCTTTGGGAATGCTGTGATTTGGATAATCTTGCTCTGGAAAGTACAAGCTGTGGCCTAGCCCCTGTGGAATATCTGCAAATGGGGAATGGGCCTGGGAATTCCTGTCTAAGGGCATTTCATGGAGATTTGGGCTCTCTGAAAGGTTTCCAGAGAATGGTGCGGTAATGGACAGCTTGGGGGAGCTGGGGGTGCTCACCTGGAGAGGAGAAGGCTCCAAGGAGAGCTCAGTGCTCTTTCCAGGGCCTAAAGGGGCTCCAGGAGAGCTGGAGAGGGACTGGGGACAAGGCAAGGGGGAAGTGTTTTAGGTTGAAAAAGAGCAGATTTAGATGGGATATTGAGAGGAAAAACCCTGTGAGGGTGGGCAGGCCCTGGCACAGGGTGCCCAGAGCAGCTGGGGCTGTCCCTGGATCCCTGGCAGTGCCCAAGGCCAGGTTGGGCATTGGGGTTTGGAGCAGCCTGGGACAGTGGGAGGTGTCCCTGCCATGGCAGGGCTGGCACTGGATGGGATTTAAGGTCCCTCCAGCCCAAACCATTCCATGGTTCCATGATATTTCAGCGCTTACTGCAGTTTCCAGGATCATCATGATCCCTTCCTTGGCCAGGGAGCTGGGAAAGGTTTGTGTCCCCTGTCCTTCCTGAGGATCCTGATGGGAGCAGCACCTTTTGGAGACAGCACACAGGAGTTTGGTAAAGCTGATCCATTTCCAAGGAAATGGCCTTTTCTTCCAGGATGGGTGTCCAGGCTCCCTGGAGTCTGTGGCCCTGCAGGGGCTCAAGAAGACGTTTGGAGCTGGGGACAACAACTCTCCCCAAACACCTCAACTCCAAATCCCAGTGGCTGAATCCCTCTTTAACCCCTTTATTCATCCATAAACTGCTCCTTGATTTATTCCCCAGCTCTCCCTCTCACCACCACCTTTGCATATGTAAAAACCCACTTGTTTTTTAGCAGGTTTAATGTTTTTTCCTGATTTCCCACCTAAAGTAGGGCAGTCATTTTATCCCTGAACTGGCTGCTGCTCTCTATGTAGGTTAATAAGGTTTGCCTTCATTATTTACACAAGGTTTTGTTTGTTTGTTTGCACTTCTCCAGGAAATTTAATATAAAATGCTACCAGGAGCAAAGAAAAAGAATAATTTTGTAAATTTGCAGGTTCTTAAGGGAAAAAGACAACAAAAGAACAACATGGAAATGATGTTCCCAACTAAAACATCAGAATTAAGTCTTCAGGGAGCCCTTGGTCACTTTGAGGAGCAAAAGGAAAGTTTGGCATTATTTCAAAATACCTTTTGACATTTGAGAGTGAGAAAATTTGACCACTTCAGCTGCTACATTTTTTTTAATGTGAGTCACAGGATAAACCCCTCCTGGAACCTGAACTCTGCAAATGCGTGTCATAAAGCTGGGGGATAAAAAGCAATATTTAACCCTACTAATCATCAGTGATACTCTGTTATTGTCAATACCCTGCTATCAAACACAAAGAAGGGAGCTGAGGTTAAGTGTGAGGAATAAAGATGCAGGATCTGGCTCTAAGGACGGTTCTTAGGTAGCAGGAGCTCCCAGGCTGACAAATAACCCAAGGAAGATTAAAAAATGTCTTAGGACCAAAGTAGGTCTGGCAATGAACCAACTCCTGCAGCAGCAGCGGGGATGGAATCAGCAGAGATGGAGCAGAAGGTGGCAAACATGGAGTGAGTGGTGGCTGGGAGGTGATGGAAGGATGTCACCCTGTCCCACAGCAGCAGGGGAATGTGCCACTTCTCCTGGAGGCCCAGGGCAGCTGCACCGGGAGCTGCTGAGACCTCACTGAGGCAGCCTTGGCACTGCTGATGTTCACTTCCATTTTCCTTTCAACGAGATTATGTTAATGTGAATGGGGATACTCCAGGAGATTAACTTTTCCAGCAGCATTGGTGGAAGCTGGGTGGGATGGCTGGGGGGGACAGGCATGGCATGGCCCTGGTTGCCAGGAAAATAATGGGAATGTTGGTACAAATCACCAGAAGCACAGGGATAAAATAACCAGCCCTGGATCGGCTTCCAGCTATGGCAGATCATGCTGGGAGGAACTCCACAGCCTGAGGGAGCTGGGTAGGAAATCAAGATCAAATTCCCATTCCTCCAGCATGGGATAGATGATGGGAAGTGCAGGATGGCAGTGCTGGCCTCCTGCCAATGCCAGGATAGAGTCTTTGGCTTCCCATGGGCAGCCTCAGACTTCGTCTTCATCTGCTGCCCTCACATTATTAATATTCATTATCAAAATCATCCCCTTCCTGCTCAGGAAATTGAAAGCTCAAATAAAATTTATTAATGTGTCCATTTTCCTGCACATATTTCAGAGCCTGATTTCCCAGAAGTTTATCCAGAGCACATTCCCTGTCACAGAGCTTCCAGTGCTGAAGAAACAGCCAAGACAGGAAAAGCCTGGAATGGGGAGAGCCCCACTAGGATCATTCCACCTTTCCAGCTATTGCCACCTGCAGATGGTCCCAGGAGAGATCGGGAATGGGGAAAATCTCCTGGAGAGGTGTGAAGGCTGGCTGCCAGGAGCACTGCGACATGGAACCTCAGCAGGAGATGCTCCAGGGAGAGAGGGGTGGGCACAAGAGGAGGAGCCTGTGGGGATGGGCAGGGCAGCAGAGGTGGGAGATCCTGGGGTATCCCGGAGAGGATGAGGAAGAGCATTCCCAGCAGGTCAGGGGTGATCCTGGCCCTCTGCCCAGCCCTGCAGGCACCTCTGGGGTGCTGTGTCCAGCTCTGGATCCTCAGCACAGCAGGGACAGGAGCTCCTGGAGCTGAGGAAGGGCCTGGAGCATCTCTGGGAGAGGCTGAGGGAGCTGGGGCTGCTCAGCCTGGAGAGGAGCCCCAGCTGAGAGGGGACCTCAGCTCTGGGTGTCCTTGGCTGTCCCTGTGTCTGTCCCTGGCTGCCCCTGTGTGTCCCTGTGTGTCCCTGGCTGTCCCTGGCTGTCCCTGTGTGTCCCTGGGTGTCCCTGGCTGTCCCTGTGTGTCCCTGGCTGTCCCTGTCCATCCCTGTGTGTCCCTGGCTGTCCCTGTGTGTCCCTGTGTGTCCCTGTGTGTCCCTGTGTGTCCCTGTCTGTCCCTGTGTGTCCCTGTGTGTCCCTGTGTGTCCCTGTCCATCCCTGGCTGTCCCTGTCCATCCCTGTGTGTCCCTGGGTGCAGGAGGGGCAGAGCAGGCCCAGGCTCCGCTCCAGGCCCAGCAATGGCAGCAGAGCCACGGGCAGGGGCTGAGCCCAGGCCCTGCCCTGCACAGGAGGCAGAACTTGTGCCCTGGGCAGCGGCCAGCCCTGAGCAGAGCCCAGAGAGGCTGTGGGGTCTCCTCCCTGGGGATATTGCAGAGCTGTGTGCACACAATGCTGTGCCCCGTGCTCTGGGATGGCCCTGCTGGAGCAGGGAGGTGGCACCAGTGACCCTCTGAGCTCCCTGCCGGGCTGACCCATCCTGGGATGTTCACCCACAGTGGCTGAAGCTCTGAAGTGATTGCTTTGTCTGCTCTGGTGTCTGCTGGATCCTACATGGGACCATTGCTCACACACCCAAGTGCTTCCAGCAGTGCACCAAGCATTGCCCCCCTGCCCCTTCCAAGCAGGAATTGTTTCTCCTGGGGATGATAGCAGGGGAGAAGCCAAGGGGGTGTTTCCTGTAAATCCAGCTCCTTCTCTTGGAGCAGCAGAGAAGACAGCCATGTGTCATTGTCTGCACCCCTGGGATGGAGCCTGAAGGTGGGAAAATGTTCTGTGGGCAGAAGAACTCCCACAGTGTATTTTTTCCAGCAGAAAACACCAACAACTGCAGCTCTGCTGACTCCTGACACTGTCAGTTCTTGCCTGCTTTGAGGCCTCTGTCTGATTTCATCGCTGGGGAGATTACCTGGCAGTGCCCCCTGTGTCCTGATGTGACCCTGAGCAGGAGCCACTACAGCTGGGAAATCACCTGGCACCCACCAGTATGAGCATGGCCTGAGCAGCTCCAGAGGAACCCAGACTGGTTTCCAGCACCCAGAGTTTGATGCCACGGGGACACTGATGCCAATGGTTATGTCAGCAGGCACTTCTGGAAGGGACCTGTCAAGGTGGCCAGAGCCCTCTGTGCCCTGGAGAGGGTGGGGGATGTTCCCCCTCCCTTTGCCAGGCTTGTGGGGTGCAGATAATTCCAAGTCAGCAAGGGAGACAAAGCCCTGCTCCCAATGCTCCTTGATCCTTTTACCCCCTGGGGCCTCACTGGGACACCCTGTCTCCATCCCCACCAAGGACTGGGATGAGCAGATAAACCCCAGGTGAGCTCTTAGGGAAGTTACCCCAACGGGTCTCAGGGCCACCCCGCACTGAAGGAAATGCCCTGTGCAGTGGCAGGATTGGGCACAGAGCTGCCTGGGATCTCCCTGAGCCAGAGTGGAGGGCTGAGAGCTGTGTTCCCTGATCTCATCAGCCCCCTCAGGCCCTACTGTGACACCCTGTGCACATGGAATGTCCTGGCTCCATCCCCAGGAAGGCCTGAGATAGGCAGGGAGCCAGGACAGAGCTGGGGAGCTCCCCCTGCCCATCCCAGCTCAGCTCAGGCTGCCATCCTGACTCCTCTCACAGCGCTGATTCCAGCAAAAGCTGCAGCTTTTGTCCACGGAGGAGCTGGGATTGGCTCAGCTGGACAGAGCGTGGTGCTGATAACCCACAGTGAGTTCCATCCCCACATGGGCCATTCACAGTTGGACTCCATGGTCCTTTGGGTCCCTTCTGACTCAGAACATTCAATGAGTCTGTGAAAATCATCTCAAGCTTCCCCCTCCAAACACATATTCCCTTTCCAAGCTCCACAACTGCCCGATGTGTGCCTGGTTTGAGGAGGCTGCTCCCACACTGACTGGGACATGCTGGGACCCAGCTGCCGGACCAGGATCGTTCCCAGGCTCAGCGCTGCCAGACGGTCACGGCTGAACATTTAATCAAGCACTGGCATCCTGTGCCCAGCCAGAGCTCCTGACAGCACTTGAGGAGATGGAAATGTAACATTTGAATGAATGGCCCTTTAATTACGCCGTGGCTGCCCTGCTCTTTCTGTGCCCGCTGCAGAAAGCCCAGGGAATGTTAATGGAGCAGCTCCCAGCCCGCACCTGCTGCTGGCTGCCTGCACTGAGCACAAATTAAACAACTAAGGCAAAGGAGGTGACTCCTGCTCTGCAGCCCCAGTGACTTTCCTTCCAGGACTGGGGACACCCTCAGAGCACCTGTCCTTGGTGGAAATCCAGTTTAAGCTCCTGAATCCATGCAAAAACCCAGCAGGGGAGGCAGTGTCTCAATCAGGCAAAAGCAGCATTTGAACTGCACAATGAGACCGGCTCTTCCAGGGATTTCATCCAAGCACAGGCTTGGCCTGACCTTTTCTTCCTTTTTTTGGGGGGGCAGTGGGGGAGCTCATTCTGCTCGGAGAGCATCGGAGCGGAATATAAAAGCTTTAAAAAAACTCCCGAAGCCAAATGTTTCTACTTACAAATTACTCCTTTGTAATCCTCAGCTGGGAAGCAAATTCGCTGTGCCCTGGCCAGCTGAGCTGTCCCTGGGAGCCATGGAGGGGACATGGCACACATCTCTCCTTGCTAGGCTGGCAGGGGGTGATGCTGCAACTCTGCTCCTTCAGGAGAACACCAGCACCTAAAGGGGCTCCAGGAGAGCTGGAGAGGGACTTTTCATCAAGAACTGGAGTGCCACGACACAGGGAATGGCTTCCCACTGCCAGAGGACAGGGATGGATGGGATATTGGGCAGGAATTGTTCCCTGGCAGGGTGGGCAGGCCCTGGCACAGGGTGCCCAGAGCAGCTGGGGCTGCCCCTGGATCCCTGGCAGTGCGGGAGGTGTCGCTGCCCATGGCAGGGGTGGAAGGAGATGGGTTTTAATGTCCCTTCCAACCCAACCCATTCCATGATTCCAAAAATATGAGAGAGGCTGTGTAAATCCAGGATTTATCTCATCGCTATTTAGTGGAGGAAGGAAACGGAGATAAAGCACCAGCCAGGGTTTGTCACAAGACTTGGAGAGTTTGCTACTGTCCTTTTAGCCAAATGAAAAGGTGAAAGGGAGCCAAGACCTTTGATATGGATTTGTTAACTGAGGCAGAGAGTCCCCAGTAGTCAGCCTGGAGCTGCATGAGCAGGATGGGAGGCAGGGATGGATTCCTGGAGGGGTCAGGCTCTTTGCCTCTTGTGAGGACAAGTCAGAGCATTTTGTATCAGCCCTTGGCACAGGGGTCAGGGAGATCCCCAGCAGCTCAGGGCTGTCCCAGACCCGGGCACTGATGCCCAAGCCTGCCACTAAAAGTGGGATGTCCCTCAGTGCAGGTGACCCCAAGTCCTAATGGGGATAGCTTTCCTAAGTGCTCACCAGGAATTTATCTGCCCTCTGCTCCAGGCAAATATGAACAGAAATAGGGAAGGTGGAAAGTGGAGCCCTGGGTGGAGAGGTCTGGCTGCTCCTCCAGTTCTGCCACACCTGAGCACAGCACTGTGCCACCACATCTCAGCCCCTTATCCCAGCTCCAGGGCTCTTTCTCTGCTGTCCAGCCTAAAGCCAAGTGCAGCTGATTGAGCCCCTGCTTCTCTGACCCTCCTGCTGAGGTCCAGGGAGCCTTTCCAAACCCACCTGCATCTTTGGTCCTGGCCAATGAGGAAACTTCTCTTTTCTCCTCTCTCTTCTCTCTTTCCTATCTTCTCTCTTCTCCCTTCCCCTTCCCCTTTTCTTCCCCCTATGGACAGTCCTGGGGACTGTGGAAAGAAAAACAAAATATCTACCTGAGAGATGCCTGTACATTGCTGAAAATTTCTTTGTTTAATCTCAGGGAGAAGCAGGCTCAGGGAGAGAATCTTTGCTGTGCAGCTGCATTCAGCCTGAGAGAAGAGGAATCGGGGGATACAGCCCCGAGTGTCCAAAAATTGTATGATATTTGTCAGGCAGATAGGGAAAACAACTTAAAACCTTCACAAGTGTGAAAACCAGGAGCAGTGGCCTAGAAAACATCTCCTGCTGGGATCCGGAATTCACTCACGGTCACCTGTGGCCTTCCAAAGTAGGGGTGCTGTTAGAAATGCTGGAGTGTTGCTCAAAGAGCAGGGACCAGGATCTCATCCCTCGGGAAGGAAAAGAAATCCTGCAGCCAGTCTGCTTGGCCTGAGGGATTGTCCCTTCTAGGGGGCATTGGATTTCCTCTCTCAGCTCCTCTGAAGTTTCTTTGCCTTCTGCACAGCTGCTCCTTCTCTCCTGAGCTATTCATGGAATCGTCAAGTCCTGGAACAGTTTGGGTGGGAAGGGAAGCCCATCCAGTGGCCCCTCTACCCTGGGCAGGGACTTCCACTGTCCCAGGCTGCTCCAAGCCCCATCCAGCCTGGCCCAGAACAGCTGAGGGTGGCAAATGCCCAGCTTAGTTGTCATCATAGAATAATAGAAATATTTTGTGTTGTCAGGGGCCTCTGGATGCCTCTCCTTCCCTCTTGTGCTCTCAGCGGGGTGAACTGTAAACCTGGACCAAGCTTCTCAGTTTTGGTTTAGAAAATGTCCAGGCATTGAGATTTTCCCCACCTCTCTAGTCCTGAAACTGAAGAATATTTCCCTGGTAATTTTCCCAGTTGCAGATCATGTCCATTCTCTGTTAAACCTCATATGCAGCTCTGAGAAGAGTTTGGCTCCATCCTCTCCACAGCTCCTTTTAGGTGACTGTTTTTAGAGCATTTGCATTTCATCCAAGCCACTCTAGTTTGAATCCTGCCCTTCATTCAAGCTGGGCATTCCTCACAGGGCTCAGCCTCCCAATGCCGTCCTGTAAACCAGGAATTAAAATTGAAAACAGGATCAGTCTCAAGCCAGCCCTGTCTGAACAGAGCCCTGCTTGGACAGAGCTTTGGAGGAGCTCTCTGGGAACAGCCTTCACCTGCTTGCATCCTCATCCTCTCCAGAAATCTGGATCTGTTTCCCTGCTTTGCTCAGGAACATCCTCTTATGCTCTGTTAACAGCCTTAAAGTCAAGAGATTTCACATCTATTGCTTCTCTTTATCCACTGGGCCAGTTATTGTCAAAAAAAAAGACTCTGATTTGTGATGATTTCTTTCTGACAAATCCCAGCTGGTTCTTTTCCACCATCCAGAGATCTCACGTGTGCTCTAAGCTGCAGCTTGGCACTGCTTCTGTGCCTGGTTCCAGCACTGGGCTGAGGCAGTGACACTTTGCCCTTCCTGCTGCCCCAGCTGCTCTCCCCATTCCTGCCACTGGCCCAGGGGCTCTGCAAGGTGAGCTTTGCCCAGAGCTGGCAGCAGCTGGCTCAGGTTCTCCAGGCCCTGGCACCTCCACATCCTGCTCCAGGGGGAGTCTGAGCAGGCTGTGGTTCCAGTTCCTCCTTCAGCCCCTCCTCCAGACCTGGCTGTGGCAGGAGGCTCCCTGCAGCTCTTGGGGGTCTTCCCTGAGCTCTTTCACCTTCCAGAGAAGTGGCAGAGTGGTCTGACAGTGCCAGTATCTGGCGGCTGAGCACCCTAAATATGTCCTGCTCTGTCCCACAGACAGAGGTGGGTTTGGATTCCTGACTTGATCTCCCCTCTGGTACCGAGAATTGTTCTCCTGGGAACCCCTCTCCAAGTCCAGAGTCCTGGGAGTCCTTGGCAATGGAAAGGAGGCATTGACTGAGCCTCTTCTGCATCCCTGTCACCCCATGGCCTGTCCCATTCCATTGGTTATCCCTGCCCTTTTCATGGTCATGCTTGGCCAAAAAATCAGAATTATTTTCTGTATAATAAATCCTGGGATAACAAATGAGGATGGAGGGTAATGAGGAGAAGCTGAGGGAGCTGGGAAAGGGGCTCAGCCTGGAGAAAAGGAGGCTCAGGGGGCCCTTGTGGCTCTGCACAACTCCCTGCCAGGAGGGGACAGCCGGGGAGGGTCGGGCTCTGCTCCCAGGGAACGGGCTCTGCTCCCAGGGAACAGGGACAGGAGGAGAGGGAACGGCCTCAGGCTGCGCCAGGGGAGGCTCAGGGTGGATTTTGGGAGAATTTCTTCACATAAAGAGCTGTCCAGCCTGGCACAGCTGCCCAGGGCAGGGGTGGATCCCCATCCCTGGAAGTGTGGATATGGCACTGGGGACCATGGTTCTGGTGTCTTTGGTGGAACCTGGCAGTTCTGGGTTAATGGCTGGGCTCAAAGATCTTAGAGGGCTTTTCCAACCTTAATTATTCTCTGACTCTGTGTTCATACATAATCAGATTTATGTTGTGGATGGATGTATTTCTGTATTACATACACGGGTCCCTCCAGAGCCTCTTGGACTGTGAATTGAGTTGTGCTATAAATTGCCAAGTTTTTTATGCTCAGCACTAACCTTTGCAAAAAACCTTTACCTATCCCTTCATCTCACAGTGAGGAGCTCTGCCTGCTCCCTGCCCTGCTGGGCCCAGGCTTCAGCCCTGCACACACACCTGGTTTAGGTGCCACAGACGGGTGTCTGTCAGTGGGGAGGGGCTGCCCTGGACTCATCCCCAGCCAAAAGAAGCAAGGGGATTTATAACTCCTGCTTTTCCAGCCAGGAGTCCCAAAGCCAAGTGCTGAGCTCTGGAGAGCTGCCTGCCTGGCAGAGGGCTGGCAGGAGCCTTGGAATCCAGCCAGGCTGATGTCAGGGCTTTCTTCTCCCAGGGGGACGTGCTGCCGTGTAGGAATCTGCATTATCCATTCTGACAGCATGGCAAAGCAAAAGAGGAATAAAACTGACTTTAATCCATCAAAGCACCATCAAACCCTGGCTGTGCAGTTTGTCAGGGATACAAAACAGGAAACAAATATGTGCACAAATGTTGACATTTACCAAAGATCCTTTTCTTTAAGGTCTCTGCTCTGGGGACTGCGGAGAGGTCCTGGAGCTGATCCAGGCCGGGATGAGTCAGAGCTTCTCCCGCATGGCTGCAGAGTCCTGGGCTGGACAGGAGCCCTGAAACCTGGCTGGACACCCCTGTTAATCCTGGGGAAAGCCAGAATCTCCAGGAACATCCACAGGCTCTCTGCTCTCCCAGGCCCGCTTCTTTGTGGAGTACAAACAAAGAGAATTGGACACTGGGAGGGGTCAGCGCTCACACATTTATTGCTGAAGGATGTTGGGACTCCAGGGAATCCCAGGATGATTTGAGTAGGATGGGACCATCCATGGCAGGGACACCTTCCACTGTCCCAGGCTGCTCCAAGCCCCATCAGCCTGGCCTTGGGCACTTCCAGCTGCTCTGGGCACCCTGTTTATCTCATTTTCCTCAGCTTTCAGAAGAAGAATCATTTCTCCTGTGGAGCTTCTGAGCACATCTGTCTGACGGGGACTGAAGGAGAAGCACAGGACTTAACCCCATCCCTTGGGGTGGTGCACTTGGAAAGAGATCAGACCTGGACATGACAGTGACATAAGGACAAAGAGGAGGACACTTGTGGAGCCAGTCCTGCTCTGCTCCTTTGGGGAAATAGAGGGGTCCCAGCAGCATTACTGGCAAGGTGAGGAAGTGAACTCTCAGTGGAAAAAGGGCAAAGGACAAGTGAGAATTTGATGTTATTTGCTGGGAAAATGTTTGAATCTGCTGGAATTCATCCAACTTTGGGTATTGCCCCATCCCTGGAAGTGTCCAAGGCCAGGCTGGATGGAGCACCCTGGGATGGTGGAAGGTGTCCCTGCCCATGGCAGGGGTGGGACTGGATGAGCTTTAAGGTCCCTTCCAACCCAAACCATTCCATGGTGTGGGATTGTTTGGATGTTCCCAAGCATTACCCAGTCCTACATCACAGCCAAACCCAGCAGATGTTGGCTTTGCCATCACAGGCAGAGAAGTCACTTCCCTCTCTGCAAGGACACCTGTGGCAGCAGCAGCCAGGTGGGACCAGGCACGTGGAACAGGCAGCTCTTCCTGATGTCCCCATGAGAGCCTTAAGTCCTGCTCAGCCTGTGGGTGCAGGAATGCTCTGATCCATCCCATGGTGGGAAGTTCCGTCCTGGGATTTGCTGAGGAGCAGAATCTCCCTGTGCCACAGGCAGGATCACCAAACCCAGAGGTGAAGCATTTGCAGGTGAAGGGGTTCATTAATTTCCAAGTCCTCAGTGTTCTCAGGAGCAACCCCATCCCCATCCCCATCCCCATCCCCATCCCCATCCCCATCCNTGTCCCTGTCCATCCCTGGCTGTCCCTGTCCATCCCTGTCTATCCCTGGCTGTCCCTGTGTGTCCCTGTGTGTCCCTGTGTGTCCCTGTGTGTCCCTGGGTGTCCCTGTGTATCCCTGTGTGTCCCTGTGTGTCCCTGGCTGTCCCTGGCTGTCCCTGTCCATCCCTGGCTGTCCCTGTCCATCCCTGTGTGTCCCTGTGTGTCCCTGTGTGTCCCTGTGTGTCCCTGTGTGTCCCTGTGTGTCCCTGGCTGTCCCTGTCCATCCCTGGCTGTCCCTGTCCATCCCTGTGTGTCCCTGGGTGCAGGAGGGGCAGAGCAGGCCCAGGCTCCGCTCCAGGCCCAGCAATGGCAGCAGAGCCACGGGCAGGGGCTGAGCCCAGGCCCTGCCCTGCACAGGAGGCAGAACTTGTGCCCTGGGCAGTGGCCAGCCCTGAGCAGAGCCCAGAGAGGCTGTGGGGTCTCCTCCCTGGGGATATTGCAGAGCTGTGTGCACACAATGCTGTGCCCCGTGCTCTGGGATGGCCCTGCTGGAGCAGGGAGGTGGCACCAGTGACCCTCTGAGCTCCCTGCCGGGCTGACCCATCCTGGGATTCCGGGATATTTCCTTCTTGACAATTCTGACTGGGCTGTGGGACTAAACAAAGCTCTTCTGAAGGCAGACCTGGCGCTAAATCCCCTTATGCCGCCTGAAGAGCAGATGATCCAGGAAATCAGCCCTTGGAGTGGCTGGGAAGGAGGGGATAAGAGCAGGCACAGCCTGCTGGGAGGCACTTTGTGATTAGGCTGTGCCTGGAGCGGCTGCCGGGTCAGGAATATTCATTCCCTTCACCGAGTCACCGTTCCCAGGCTTTTACATATGCAGAACCTGTTCTGGTATTTCCAGGGAAATACAGCAGCCTGGTGGCTGCTGCCTGAACTGCTGCGGTGGCCCCAGGGCAGGTGGAAGCAGCAGCAGGAGGAGGATGCAGAGAGCACCAGGGGAGCCACAGCGAGCGATGCTGCAGCCGCTGGGATCAAGGAAACGCAGGAAAGGGACATGTCCTGGTCGTGCTTAATGTGGAAATGGGAATTATGGCCACAGTGGAGAGAAAGTGTCCAGAACCCCTCTGAAGGGCTCCCAGAGTGTGCCTGGCTCTGTGACCACCTCCTCTTCAGCTGCCCAAAATAAGCTGCACTTCCCTGTGGGAGGGGTGCTCCCGAGGATTGCTGACAGGAGCAAAGAGCTTTCACCTCCTCTTACCCAGCCAGGATGTGATGGACACAAAACCCAGCCAGGTCTGTCCTGGTGCTCCCCAGGGGATCCAAAGGCAGAAGATTATTCATGCTGCACTTGCTGGGATGCTCAGTGGTCCAGGCTGCAAAGAACTAGCTGAGGGTCAAAACAGAGAAAATCCAGAGCAGGGCAGGCTCCTGCAGCAGCACTGACACTTTCCCATGTCTGCCTGGAGCAATGCTGGCTGGAGAGCCAAAGTTCTCTGGATCTTGTTGCGAAGAGCTCCCTCCATCCGTGCTCCAAGGGTGGGTATAGCGCCCGTGGAGGGTCTAGCTAAACCTTCCAGTTATCTAGAGAAGTGCTGGTGCCATGGAGAAGGACATGGGCACATGAGAACAGTCTGGGGGTGGCTGGGTCTGGCAGAAAGCAGGAGGGTAAGAGAGCCACCTGTGCTTGGCAAGGAGTTTAAAGGGTGATGCCACCAATTTCTGTGGCAGCGGGGCAAGGGACAGTTGCCACAGCTTGAAGCAGAGGAGGCTCAGGTTGGGAATTGGGAAAATGTTGTTCCCTGGGATGGCGGTGAAGCCCTGGGACAGGCCACCAGAGAGGTGGGGAAAATCTTGGAACAGCTGAATTGACCAAGATTTACCAAGCTGGACTTTGATGATCCTTGTGGGTCCCTTGCAGCTCAGAATATTCTGGGACTGTAGATCCAGAAGCAGAGACCTGGTCTGGTGTGGGAACAAACCTTCAAGGGTCCCTTCCAGCACGGGCCTTTGGGACAAAGTGGTCCCAGAGTGGGTCCTAAGGGTAGGAGGTTGTTGTGAGAAAAGGAGGTGTCAAGGATACAAAACATCACTGGAGGGGTGTGGGCATCTCATTTCTCCTCCTGGCTCTGGAATTATTTGTCACTTTGCCCTTCCGCTGGCCTGGGGAAGGGAGGTTGGTGAGGAATGCTCCCAGCAGCTCTGGTTCTGCAGAACACCCTGGGATATAAGAAGGATGAACAACTTGCAGATCAAATCTAATTTTTGGTGATGCTGCCAACCCAGTGCCTAAACCCAGCCTGCAGGATGCTCTGCTTGGCCACAAACCCCTGGTCTGAGGGGTGTTCACATCCTGGTTTCTTCTTCTTTCCTCCCACTGTGCACAGGCTGAAATTATCCCAGGAGCTGGGCTGTTCCTGCTGTCCAGGGGCCTCATTTTCCCTTGGCTGCAGGAGCCAGTCCCTGACCCCCAGCCCCTCCCTGTTGGTCCCTGAATGTGACCTGCAGACAATAAAACCAGCTGAGCTAAACTGGCATTGACAGACATGCTCTGAGATCTTCAGAAAGTAGGTTGGAGGACCCAATTTTAATAATGAGGGAAGAGATACAAATAATTAAGCAGCTGTTTCTTGTAGGGTGCTGTTCCCTCACTGCCAAAGACCAGAGTGAGACTTTACAGAGTGCTCGGCCCCCTGACCCCAGCATTCCAAGCATCCCAGCCATGGAACAGCCTTCATGAAAATGCCTTTCAAAGGGAATGTGCAAATTGTCCTAAGAATTTGAGAGGAGCAGGCTCAAAGGCAGAGCAGGAGATGCACCATGGAATTCCTGCCCAATCAGTGCCCTCATGCCCATCTGCTCCCTCTCCTTGTGGAGAGCAGAGTCCTTGGCAGATCCCAGCCTTTGCTCCAGGAATCACCTGTGCCAGGCTCATGTGATTGCCATGGATGTGACCTCTCACGTCCCCATGCTGTTTGTGTGCCTGAAGGGCAGGCTCAGGAGGGACTTTCTGCCAGACATTCCTGACCTTTCCCGTGGCCTGAGCTCTCAAACATCAAAAACAAAGAGTCCTTTGCTAATGAGTGGTCTTGGGCTGGAAGAATAACTCGGTCCTGCTCCTCCTGGCTCTGCTTCCTCACCCCAGCAGTGTCCATCAGGAAGGTGCCAGGAGCAGGGGCTGGTGCAGATCCCATCGCTGCAGAGATGGGATACAGGGTTGGTAAAGGGTTGGAAGCTTCAGCAGACCCCTTGGAAAGTCTTTCCCTCTATTCAGTGGCAGCTCTTGGCCTTCCCAAAACAGTGGCTGGATTGTGGAGGCCCCTCCACATTCCCTGAGGCTTCAGAGGAGGCACAGCCTGAAATGGTCACCTTGAGGAAGGACTCTGGTGCCTTCTTTGGGCTTCCTGAGGGGGTTTGCTCCTGCTGTGAGCAACCTCAGCCCTTGCAGAAGTGAGGAGAAGCACCAGTGACCTTCGAGCAGGCTGAAAGTCGTTTCCAAAGCAGGATGAGTCACTCTGTGCTTTGTGCTACGTGTCCAAGTCAGTCTCCCAGGCCAGCAGTGTGGGCACAAGTCCTGATGTCCTTCACAGGCTGGAGTAAACAATGGCCATTCAGCCACTGAGTCCCCCAGGACTTCCCAAATTGAGAAATCAAGTCAGGAAATCCCAGAGTGGAGCAGCTGTCAGACAAAGCCCTGTGGCGGCTGTGCCATCATTCCAATGTCAAGGAGAGCACGGAATGGGATGGTCAGAGGCTCTGGAAGCACTGCACAGCCTGGGCCTTCACTGACACTCCCAGCTCCAGCACACAACCCCGTGTTTCAGACACTGCTTTGCAGAATCCTTTAAAATCACTGGGTTTAAAAGTCCTTTAAAGAGATTTAAAAATGCTTTAAAAATCACCAAAGGTGACAGTGTGGTGTGGTACAAAGAGGACGGTGAATCGTGGAATATCCTGAGCTGCAAGGGACCCACAAGGACCATCCAGTCCAGCTCCCTGCCCTGCACAGGAACCCCAACAATCGCACCCTGTGCATCCCTGGGAGAGCTATCTCAGCGCTCCTGGAGCTCTGGAATTGTGGCTGTTCTTGTTTCCCCTCCCAGCCCAGGTGTGTGTGACCCAGCCAACCTGTCCAGCCCAGGGAGTGAGGAGGAGCAGAGGACCCATGGTTGATGTGCAGGGACATCCCAAGCTGGTGACAGAGGTTTCAGGAGCAGGGGACCCTCAGTCTCCAGCGAGGCATGAGCATGGCCTTTGTGGGGCCACCCCAGCCCCTCACCCTGAGGTCAGTCCCTGCTTAGGGCAGGTCCCCTCCCTCTCCACACAGACCCCAAGCAAAGCTGTGACCAGAGAAGGGAACCTCCAGCCCTTCTCCTTGTGGGGGAGGAAAGAAACCATATTCTGCTCTCTTTTCCAGCTGCTGGGAGCCAAGTATACCTCCCTCCTCCTCCTCACTGTCAACACCTTGGAAATGCCTTGGTTCCAGGCAGTGCTGGGATGCCTTTTTTAATCTGTCACTTGCTCTTCTAAGCTGATCTCTCTGAAATCACTTGGTTTTCTTGGCTCCCCACTGCTGAAGACAAGACTCAGGGATGCTGGAAAGAAGGGGAGCCGAGATGCTCGGAGGGTTTCTCTGTGGCACAGGGGTCCCACAGGGGGTGGGATGTTCCTCCTGCAAAGGCAGAGAGGTCAGAAAGTGGCACAAAGTGAGAACTGCTGAGTGCCCAGGGACAGGGCTCCTGCTGGGGGGGTTCAGGTGCCACATCCTCTGGCCCGATCCTTCCTTTTCTTTAAGGAACATCTGCCCCCCTCGGTGACATAAAACATGGATAGCTGACAACTTCCTCCCCAGAAATCCTCCAGTGCTCTGGAATCTTGAAGATCTGAGGATGGCTGAATCCAAATTCTTCAA